GTTAGGTTTTTCCATAAGAATAGATTACTTGATGTAAGGAAAACAAAATCAATTCTCTTTAAAGTTTAGATACATATTGAGAAACTACCAGTAGCAAAAGTTGGCCTCATCAAACCCTTGCCCACTGCTATACTCAAGAACTATGCACAGAACTGACACATTTTCTATTGTATCACTTGTAAATCCTTTGTCTTTGTATACAATTGGAATCCTTTCTGATCACCTCTAGTCTCCTGGCACCTCTCTTATTCTATTCAATTTCTCCATGGTACTTACTGGGGTGCTGAATGGTCATTTACAGGTTGGCTTTAGTTCTTTGGAAGTTATACTTTAACTATCTGAGATTTCGGTTCATTGACTCTTTAAATCAAATCACAGAAACAGAAGCCAAAGGACTTGAAGAACTTTACCCTTTTACCAAACAGGGGGGTAAAAAATAGTTTGCTCATTTGCAATGTTTCACTCATTTATAATTTCAGTATTTTGGGCTTCAACTCACAGAGTTCTACTTTATTTTTATACATGTTCTCAGTCATTTCTCCTTCTTTCCATCTTCTGAAAAACAAAACAAAAAACTCTTTTCCTTGAAATATCACAGTCTTCAATTCAAATTTGATATAAGCACCTCACATGAATATTTCATATATTTGAACCATTATTTGTCAGATTCTTTTAACATTTCTACATTTTCCATTTTATAAAAAAAGCAATTGTTCATTTTTAAAGGGAACACTTTCCAGCATAGAAAAGGAAGAAAAGAAAACACTTGCTTCCAAGAACAAGCTAAATCAACCCATCCCTCTTTCTTTGAGAGTACTACAGTCTCTGAAATGAATTTGACCTTGTTCACAAGCTATTTTTTGGTGGAAAAATACAGTAGTAAGATATGAGTGCATAAACAATTAATGAGATTAACAACTAGTCAGATAGCCAAATCAAAGATTTTGATAAAAGATGAATGCCAACAGCAAGGATTCTAGTACAAGCCACAGGGATCTACCCATGGCATTTTCCAGCTCCCTATGTATGGTAAGGAATCCTGGTGTGGTGCTGTGGGTTAATGCGCCAGACTGCAAAGCCATTTGAACTGCAAGGTCGGCAGTTCAAGCTCACCAGTCACTCCTTGGAAACCCTGTATAGGGTCGCTATGGGTCGGATCCGACTTGACAGCACTTAACAACAACAACAATGTATGGTAATGTTTTGATGAATTTTTCTAAAAATTGAGGTCCTGTAATTTTCAGGTGATGAATACCATCTATAACAATTGGATCACTCAAAGAAGATGGAAGTTAATACTGTTCAATATAAACTATAGAGAATCCTCTATCTGGACCCAAGAAATGCAACCACATTTACATGTGTATAATCAAGCCTAGGTTGTTGATGTAGTTAAGTGCCATTGAGTAGGGTCCTGTCGGGGACCTGCCTCGACAGGGGAGTTCGGTTCACGAAGTAGGGAGATCTGGCGGTGACAGAGATAGGAAAAGAATACACACAAAGATGCAGCGAGAGAGACAAAGAGACACCCCGAAACCAGAGTGGATGCAAAACTGGCGGGCAGACCCTGGACTACAGGCATCGTGGCCCCTGCAGGCAGTAATGCACCACCCTGCAAACCGTAATGCATACAGGGTTCAGTCTGCACCCCCTTTTTATTTCAGGGAGGGACTTTACACAAAGGAAGAAGGGGATTATTAAGACAGGGTACAGAAATGAAATGTGATTAACCGTTCAAAACAGGACACAATGATTTACAGGAACAAGTTCTAAAACATACATCGCAAATTGTCTTAATAATCTAACATCCTTAATTTTCCAGAAATTCAAGCAAATTGTTATAAATTACTTTTTAGGTTCAAATCCCAAGGCAGCAACTCGAGGTTTCTCCAGGCTAATTAACATACCTATAGCACTTAATCTCGAATGGGAAAAGGTGAAAAGGATTCAAAAGGTCTGGGAGGAGTCCAGCTGTTTGAGCTACCTGGCCTAGGCTTGCAGGAGGAAGAGGGACACCTGGGGATGATTAGAAGGGCTGACACTATTATTCCTTGAACAATACCCCAGAAGTCACCAATCTACTTTGAGTGAATACCCTGGGCAGACTGTCTCCAGAGTCTCCCAGCAAACTTGCCTTTGGAATTTTTTACAGCCTCAGCTTTAGGAGGGGCTTTTGTTTTAATATTTGTCCATGGGTATCAAGGGCTCATGTATTAAGTTAATATCAAATATAACTGAATCACTTGATAAAGAACAGTTTTGCCATGCTTGCCAGGTGGCCAGAGTTTGTTCCTCAGAGATATTTGTTCCCAGAACCTTACGCACTGCCAACACAGTGGCGACATTAAGAGAGGCACATAAGAAACCATTTTCTCAGAAGCTACAATTACTGGAGTTCGAAGCATAGAATGAATAATATGACCAAAGAAAATTATACAGAGCTAGCCCAACAGTGAGTTCATAAAAGCCAATGAACCCGGGACGTCCAGAGGTCACTTCCTTGGGCCCTCAGGGTCCCTGGCTAGCCATGCTGAGTGGGGCCATTGGTTAGGAGTTTCGTCCATGACACAGGTCCTCAACACCTCAGTGCTTAGCAGTCTCCAACAGGGTCCAACTGATAGCAATCCTGTATAGGGTTTCTAAGGAGCAGCTGGTAGATTTGAACTGCCACCTTACAGTTAGCAGTCCCGTGCCTACCCTACAGCACCATACCAGGACAATGACAAAGATATTTTGGGGGAGAAGGGGTATTTGATGGTGCACTTATTGTGAACACTGAAAAGCTGGAGTGTTGGCCATGTTAACAGAAGTCCAGGATAAGTAACGAGTGATAATGGAGCTAGGCAATATACTGGCAAGATGGCCTGTAGACTGTTCCTCGCCATTCTAGCCACTGTATCTTAATAGGGACAAAAAGGGAGGATATTCCACTATGAGTGGCTAGGATGGCTCAAAGAACTTGAACATTTTCATCGAAGGAAATATTGAAGAAGAAGTTTAGCAGAAACTGAGCACCATCTTGTAATATTCAAAATCCATCCTAAAAATCAAGGGTAGACTTTCTGTGCACCCGTGAAAGAGAATCAAGGCCATTGGGGTAACTATAGAGAGTCATATTAGCATTTAATTGTTGTGGCAATATCTAACATTTAGAGGAGCACAAACACAGAATAGGCTCAGCTGTGTTGTTGTGGCTGTTGTTGTTAAGTACCATTTAGTTAGTTCCAACTCATAGCGACCTTATGCATACCAGAATGAAGCACTGCCCAGTCTATACCATCCTCATGATTGTCATTACACTTGAGCTCATTGCTGCTGCCACTGTGCCAATCCATTCTGATGGAGGGCTTCCTCTTTTTCTCTGACCATTGATTTTACCTAGCATGATGTCTTTCTCCAGAGACGGGTCCCTCCTAATAACATGTCCAAAGTATGAGAGATGAACGCTCACCATCCTGGGTCTAAGGAGCATTCTGGCTGTACTCCTTCCAACACAGACTTCTTTATTCTTCTGGCAGTTGATGGTACTTTTACTATTCTTCTCCAACACCATAATGCAACAATTCTTCTACAATCTTCCTTATTCATTGTCCAACTTTCACATGCATACAAGGTTACTGAAAATACCATGGCTTGGATCAGGCCTACCTTAATCCTTAAAATGGCATCTTTGCTTTTGAACACTTTAAAGAGGTCTTGTACAGCAGACTCTGCTGTAGACATTACTATTTCTTGTCTACTTCTGGGTACACAAAGGATTTCATTTCCTTGTTACACTGAAGTTAGGCTGGCCATGTGACTGGTTCTAGCCAATGGAACAGAAGTGGAAGTTATGCTTTGAATCCAAAGCGTTTAAGCACCAATGTTTGACTCTTCAGCCTTCTGTTCCCTACTTTTGTGGAACCTGAATCTCTGTGCTAAAACAGAGATACCAGCCTGGTTGCTGAGTGACTGCAATGACTACAATGACCCATCCCTACCCACCAAATCTAGACAACATTGGACGTGCAGTTTGAGTGGAAAATAAACTTTTGCTTGCTATTTTTAGCTACTGAAGTATGGGGATTTTATTGTTGCAGTGTAATTCTTCCTATCCTGACTAACCAAGTCCCTTTATGATGCAGTGTTTCCTTGTGACTGAGCATCAAGATGACAGTCACTGGATTCTCAAGCTTTATGGTTTTGTGACTCACACACTAACATTTGTCACCTTTCCTTTTCATTGCTAGATTGCATTCAAGCTGTTGCTAAGGGTCTAATTTTGTCAACTGGAATTTTCACCTAGCTCCTGGATCTCAACAAACTAGACTATAATGATTCCTCTTCCTAAGTACCTTCTTCTGTGATTCTGTTGCATGCCCAGCAAGATGTATGCATCTTGTCTACTTGGGGAACAGCCAACCATAATTAGATAGTTCACCCAGCGAAGACTATTTCTACACAGGCACTCACATCATCCAGAATGACGGTGACTCACCAGAGATCTTAGGGTCAAAGTGATATTATGAACATGAACGCTATAGTTTTATTCTTATATATTCATATTGTCTGGGCTTTTGCCAAGCAACCTTTCATTCCAGTCTATGCATATAAATGGAGTATTTGCCTTGCAACAAAGTTTCCCAAGGATTTCTTTGGTACCATCTGCTAAATCACAAGACTGAATGAAACATACCGCATGCCATAATATCCCAATTAAGTGTTAGTGTTAAAACTGTCCTGTGATGGACAGTATCCCATATGTTTATAAAGTGGTTCTATCTGAGGTTGAGATTTATGAGATGGTGGGAACCAGACGATGAAAGGAACAAAAGTTTGTACATACCTGAAAAGAAATGCAGGAATGAAAAAAATTTTGATTCTAATGTGGTAAAAAATGGAAAAGATATATTTTAAAGTATAATGAAAAATATAGGCATCTGTGCATGCAAAAAATGTGCTTTATGTAACATTCCAAACCCACAACGAATTAACTGGAGACTCATTTCTGTTGTTCACAGGAGACCAAAATCAACTGTGTCCGGCTGGCTACCAAAGGTATGTTGGCATGTCTTTTTCTGGTTGCAGCTAGCTAAGATTGTTTCTCTATAGTCACTTAGGGCAAGTTTAGGCAACACTGACTACAAATAACTTGAATTTATTGCTAGTCTCACTGAGGTCATCTGCATCCAACCCATCATCTTAGAATACAAACAAAGATCACAGTGCTTGAAGCATACAGTAAGGGCTCAGAACATATTTGTTGGATGGACGGATGGTTAAATGGCTGGGTAGATAAGAGGACAGAGTAGCATGTTCATCAGTGGATTGATGAAGGTAAAATTACTCAGATTTTCTTCAGTTATATATTAATTAGTATATGTGAGTCTACTGTTTATTTTCCTTTAAGCATGTCCACTAGACTTATCTCCTGGTTTTGTTCTTCTCTCAATTGGTACATGGTTTTCAAAGTGAGGTGCTCAGTTCTGGTGCCTTAATAATGAGAAAACAAACACTGCATTCCTATGTAGTTGACAGTTTCAATATTTATCCCCCAAACCAAGGCAGTATTGTTCAGACTCATCACTTTTTTCTTTTTAATTGTAATTGAATTGTCTGGATCTTTCAATTGGTACATGTTTCTACTTATTACTCTTTAAACAATAACAACAAAAACCAATGCATGTTTTGTTATCATTTAACCTAGTACAAGGTTGAATTGTTACAAATCAGGTTTATATTTTTGTTATGGAATTGATATTTTAAACAGCTACACCATATACCAGAGTCCTGGTGTAGCACCGGAGGATAAGTAATGGACTGTTACCATAGGTCAATGGTTCAAATCCACCAGCCACTCCTTGGAAATCCCCCTACATGGTTTCTATGGATCAGAACTGACTTGACAGTATTTAACAACAACAAGGAATGTCTATGATGAAATGTGTTGACTCTGCATGATAAGCACTGTACTGTGAACCACAAGGGTGGCAGTTCAAGCCCAATAGCCATGGGAGAAAGATGAGGTTTTCTGCTCCTACAAAGGTTTACAGCCTCAGAAACCCTAAACAGAGTGGCTGTGAGTCACTGACCTGTCAGCACTTAACAAAAACTCTACATACACATACAAAAGCTGGGAGATTCTATCTTGCTAGTTGCATTTATTGATAGCATACATAATTTTATAGTTTGCTTCCAATGTAATGAAAATTATAAATATCCCACAGCTCATCTGTCAGTTTGTTGTACTGTAGTGATGTACATGTTGTTGTGATTCTGGAAGATATCCCACCAGTATTTTAGATACCAGCAGGGCTACCCAGGGTGGACTGGTTTCAGATGAGCTTCCAGACAAAGACAGACTAGGAAGAAGGAGAGATGGACTACTTCCAAATATTTAGTCATGAAAAACCTTATGACTAGCAGTGGGGCGCTGTCAGCACCAGAATATTGAATACTGAGAAACAACTGTAAATATCCATTAATAATAGGAACATGTAATGTATGAAATATGAACCTAGGAAAACTGGAAATTGCCAAAAATGAAATTGAATGCATAAACATTGATATCCTAGGCATTGGTCATTTTGAATCAGATAGTCACATGGTTTACTATGCCAGAAATGATAAATTGAAGAGGAATGACGTCCCATTGATCATCAAAAAGAACATATCAAAATCTGTCTTGAAGTACAATGCTGTCTGTGATAGGATAATATCCATACACCTACAAGGAAGGCATGAGTCCCGGTGTTGTGCTGCGGTTAATGCGCTGGACTGCAAAGTTTGTTTGAACTGCAAGGTTGGTGGCTTGAGTTCACCAGCCACTCCTCAGAAACCCTATGTAGGGTCGCTATGGGTTGGAACCCACTTGACAGCACTTAACAACAACAACAAACAAGGAAGATAAGTTAACACTACTATTATTCAAATTTATGCACCAACCTCTAAAGTCAGTGATGATGAAATTGAAGAATTCTACCTACTTCTTCAGTCTGAAATTGATCAAACAGGCAATCAAGATGTATTGATAATTTCTGGTGATTGGAATGCAAAGGTTGAAAACAAAGAGGAGGGATCAATGGTTGGAAAATATGGCCTTGGTGATAGCAACCATGCTAGAGATCATGTGACAGAAATTGCAAGACTAAGGACTTCTTCATTGCAATTACCTTTTTTAAACAACATAAAAGATGACTATGCACATGGACCTCACCATATGGAATACACAGAAAACCAATTGATTACGTCTGTAGAAAGAGACAGTAGAAAAGCTCCATATCATCAGCCAAATCAAGGCCAGGGGTAGACTGTGGGAGAGACTGTCTAATGTTCAAATGCAAATTCAGGCTGAAGCTGAAGAAAATTAAAATAAATCCACAAGGGACAAAATTTGACCTTGAATATATCCCATCAATATTTAGAGATCAAGGCACTCTGGTAGCATAGTGGTTACGAATCAGGCTGTGAGCTGCAAGGTCAGCAGTTCAAAACTACCAGCTGTTCCATGGGAGAAAGATGAAGTTTTCTGCTCCCGTAAAGATTTACAGCCTTGGAAACCCTGTATAGGGTCGCTATGAGTCAGAACTGCCTCCATGGCACATAACAACAACAACAATATTTAGAGATCATCTGAGGAACAGATTTGATGCATTAGACACTAAAGACTGAAAACCAGAAAAGTTGTGAGATGACATCAAGAACATCATACAGGAAGAAAATAGAAGGTCATTAAGAAGGCAATAAAGAAGGAAAGACCAAAATGGGTGTCAGAAGAGACTCTGAAATTTGGCCTACAAGATAGAGATGCTAAAGCAAATGGAAGAAGTGAGGAGGTACAAGAGCTGAACAAAAAGATTCAAAGGTCAGCTTGAGAAGAGAAAATCAAATATTATAACAAAATGTGCAAAGACCTGGAGTTAGAAAACCAAAAGGAAAGAACACAGCATTTCTCAAGCTGGGGGAACTGAAGAAAAAATTCAAGCCTCAACTTGCAATGTTGAAGATTCTAAGGGCAAAATATTAAAAAACATCAAAAGAAGATGAAAGGCATATACAGAGTTACTATACCAAAAGGGAATGGTCAGTATTCAACCATTTCAAGAGGTAGCATATGGTCAAGAGCCAATGATCCTGAAGGAAGAAGTCCAAGGTGCATTGATGGCATTGGCAAAGACCAAGGAACCAGGAATAGATGGAATAGGAATTGAAATATTTCAATGAACTGATGCAGTACTAGAAGCACTCATTCATCAAACCCAAGAAATTTGGAAGAAAACTACCTGGCCAAATGACAGGAGGAGGTCCGTATTTGTGCCCATTCCAAAGTCAGGTGACCAAATGGAATGCAAAATTACTGGACAATATCACTGATATTCTATATGCATTAAGTTTTACTAAATGCTCTGGTAGTGTAGTGGTTACGAATCGGGCTGCGAACCTTAAGATCAGTGGTTCGAAACTGCCAGCCGCTCCGCGGGAGAAAGATGAGGCTTTCTACTCCCGTAAGGATTTACACCCTCGGAAACCCTGTACAAGGTCGCTATGGGTCGGCTCCGACTCGAAGGCACTTAACAACAACAACAAATATAATATAGAAACAGCTGCAACCATACATTGACAGAGAACTTCCAGAGGATCAAGCCAGATTCTAAAGAAGACGTGGATTGAGGGATATTACTGCTGACATCAGATGAATCTTGGCTGCGATCAGAGAATACCAAAAAGATGTTTACCTGTGCTTTATTGACTATGCAAAGGCTTTCAATCGTGTGGATCATGACAAGGTATGGACAACATTGCAAACAATGGGTATTCCAGAATACTTAATTATATTCATGAGCAACTATCCATAGAACAAGAAGCAGTTGTTCCAACAGAACAAGGAAACACCAAATTATTTAAAATTAGGAAAGGTGTGTGACAGGGTTGTATTCTTGCACCATACTTACTCTATCTGCATGCTAAGCAAATAATCTGAGAAACTGGATTATATGAAGAAAAACATGGCATCAGGATTGGAGAAAGACTCATTAACAACCTGTGTTATGCAGATAATACAACCTTGTTTGCTGAAAGTGAAGAGGACTTAAAATACTTAATGAGGAAGATCAAAGACCACAGCCTTTGATATGAGTTGCTTCTCAAAGTAAAGAAAACAAAAGTCCTCACTACTGGACCAATAAACAGCACCCACATAAATGGAGAAAAGATTGAAGTTGTCAAAGACCCCATTTTACTTGGATCAACCATCAACACTCATGGAAGTAACAGTCAGGATATCAAACAATGTATTGCCTTAGGAAAATAAAAAAGAAGTCTTCTTCTTTAAAGTATTTAAAAAAAAAAAAAAAAGGAACAAAGATATCAGTTTGAGGGCTAAGGTGCGCCTGACCTAAGCCATGGTATTTTCAATAATCTCATATGCATGTGAAAATTGGGCAGTGAATAAGGAAGACCACAAAAGAATTGATGCATTTTGATTATGATATTAGAGGAAAATATTGAAAGTAACATGGACTGCCAAAAAAAAAAAAAAACAAAAACAAAACCACACACACAAAAAAAATCCAGATCTGTGTTGGAAGAAGTACAGTCAGAATGCTTCTTGGAAGCCAGGATGGCCAGACTTTGTCTTTCATACTTGGGACATAGTGTCAGGAGGGACCAGTCCCTAAAGAAGGCTATCATGTTTGGTAAAGAGGAATGGCTGGCGAGTTTGAATTGCCGATCTTGTGGTTCAAACCAACCATGCGGTCTAGTGCTTATCCTACATATGTTGTTGTTGTTATGTGCTGTGGAGTCAGTTCCAACTCATAGCAAGGGGTCCTCAAAAGTTTGTGAAAAATGGAATTGAAAATCAATGGAATTTTCCACAAGATTTTTGAAGTCCCCCTTGTATGCCTATAATGTGCTGTTTTATATAAAGGACTTGAACATCTACAGATTTTGGTATCCACCAAAAGTCCTGGGACCAATCAGTCCACCACAGTTACTGAGGGACAACTGTAACTTTTGTAACTGATGAAAATCAAATCAATATGCAGGCACAAAAGGCA